CTCCTTGCCCCTCATCTTTCAGACCTCCTACTGAAAAAAATATCAATTAATCTGATAAATGTTAGTCTTCATAGCTACTCATTCAATTAATGTTTTCAAGCACTTTACCGACAAAGGCACTTGGCCAGGAGCTGACAGAGAGACAAAGAACAAAGCACAGATCCTGCCTCAGGACCTAATTGGATGCTACAAAATTGGAAATACTCCATAAGAATAATATGTACTGAGTGCAGTAATAATTTAGAGAAGCCCAAGACAATTTTATGCTTGCTTAAATGGTCAAAATTAAACTTTGATGCCATTGAATGGGAAATTACTTCAGATGTAACTAGTAGCATGGACAAAGTCAAGCTCTGGCCAAGGACCAGCATTTAAGGAAACTGAGACCTTGTAAACAAGAGAGGCAGTAGGGCAGCAGGTGTAGATTGAGCTAGCTCAGGAAGGGCCTTTAGAGGCAGGCTGATGATTTGGATTTATTGGGCAGGAATAGGAGAAACAGTGGGAGTCTGGAAACGAGGAGTAACACAATCAGAACCAAGACTCTGGGTAAATGGTACCACCTTTCCTTGCTCACTGCCAACTTTATGAAAAGTGAAAAGTGACAACTGCAAAAGCTGAGATACAACCCAGGTAATGGAGTGCTTGTCTTGCATTCACGAGTCCCCAGGTTTGATCTTTGGCACCTTAAAAGAGTAAGTAAAATATCTCATCACTTCAATATCACAACTAATTGGACTCTGATAATTTGACTTTTTTTTTTTTTTTTTCCCGAGACAGGGTTTCTCTGTGGCTTTGGAGCCTATCCTGGTACTAGCTCAGTAGACCAGGCTGGCCTCAAACTTGCAGAGATCTGCCTGCCTCTGCCTCTCGAGTGCTGGAATTAAAGGTGTGAGCAACCACCACCCAGCAAGGTTTGTATTCTTGAGATCAAATTTAGCTCCTACTCTAAATGTTCGATTAGCCAATGGGGCTTACAACACTTTTACTTTCTATGCCTAACCCAAATACTTTCATAGCCAGAAGGGAAAGGGGCCATTGCACCAAAATCCTCAAACCACAGTCAGAAAATAGCCACACCAGCATCATGGTCATGATCCAACCATTCACTACATTAGGTTAAAGGGGGTGCAGGTCTTCAGCAGATCATCCCCCGTCATGGCTGAGTCCATCCTGGGCATCTGGCCCAGCTGCACCATAAAATCATCTTTTTGTTAAGAGACCAAAGAGTTCTATTTCCAATTTTTCCATTAGGGGATTTTGAAAATACAGATTACAGCACCAGTTTACTGAACAAGGAGTACAACTTTTTATTGTTCTACCACTGAGCCAGGGCTCCATCCCCTACAACTCTCCTTTCTTCTAATTGACTTCTACTCTCAGTGCACTCCAAAAACATCCCAGAGTCCCATAACCAACGGATTCGCCTCTCTTTGCAATAAGTGCCCGACTGGCATGTCTTGAGGATTAAGTGAAACAGGTAGCAGGACAGACATTTTCATAAGTGCTTGACACCCAGTAAGTACCAAATATCATATCTCTGAGAAAGAAGTTATTATTATTCCCATTTTGTATATGGGGAAACTGAGGCACTGAAAATTAAGAAAGTTGCTCAGATTTATGTAGATAGCTTTTAGATGACAGATGCAATATTTGAATCTATGTATGTTTGATTCCATGAGCTATAAATCTAATGTCTTTAATTATGCTATCATGGTATATATGTATTAATGACTTAATTCTGCCATATAATTTTATTTATTATTGTCATCATTATTATTATTTTTGAGGTAGGGTCTCTCTATGTGGTTCTAAAACTCACTTTGTAGACCAGACTGGGATTGAATTTACAGATATCTGCCTGCCTCAAGGCACGATGCACCATGCCTCACTATTCTTTTATTTTTTAAATCCCCCCCAAGACAGGGTTTCTCTGTGTAGCTTTGGAGCCTCTCCTGGCCCTCACTCTGGAGACCAGGCTGGCCTCGAACTCACAGAGATCTGCCTGCCTCTGCCTCCCAAGCACTGGGACTAAAGTTGAGCACCACCACTGCCCAGCTCCACCTTAATTTTTTATTTTTATTTATTTTTGTTGACAGGGTCTCTCACTGACCCTGGAGCTCATAAATTTGGCTAGGCTGGCTGGGCAATGAGCTCTAGGGACCCAACCGTCTCTGCCTCCCCAGTGTGACTGGTTTTTAAGTGGATGCTGGAGATCTGAACTCAGTTTCTTGAGCTTATGGAGCCATGGCCTCACAGCCCACCTTCTTATTTGTGTTGTTAGCCTGTCCTTCCCATTTCCATGGCCTTCCCTTGTGTCTACCATTCTTCACACAGCTTTTCAGTTTATAATGCTCTTTAAATCGTTTTCCTTACACTTTCACGACACAGAGCAACAATAGGGCTTCCAGAAAGAGTCCCATTTAAGGCCCAGTGTCAACAGTGCAGCAGAGACCAGGGGCCTCAAGCCAAACCAATGATTCTTTGCAATGAATGCCTGAATGTAAAGATGACTGGATAAAGGGGTTTGATGCATGACTCAGTTTGTTCTCCTACAGCTTCCATGATGAGACTTTTCCTTTCTTTGTTTCTTCTTCTTTTCCTTTTTCTTTTAATCTTAAAATTTGTTTTATTGGGGGAGAGTTTGAAGGGCAGAGAGCAGATTAGAGGGGACAGGAGATGGGTGGGATCTGGATGTATGGTGTGAAGACATAAAGAATCAATAAAGAAAAAAAATGTTTTTCCTGCTTGGCAGTGGTAGCACAGGCCTTAATCCCAGCCCTTGGGACACAAAGGCAGGTGGATCTCTGTGAGTTTGAGACTAGCCTGGCCTACAGAGTTCCAGGACAGGCTCCAAAGCTACAGAGAAACCCTGTCTTGAAAACCGCGCCCCCCAAAGTTTTTCCTTAAATTTGTTTATTGTGTGTGGTAAGGTGGTGCATGTGTGTCGGTCAGAAGACAACTTTCATGACTTGGTGTTTCCCTTCAAACTCAGGTAGGTCAGGCTGAGTGGTAAGTGCCTGTAACTATCTATCCATCTCACTGGCCCAATTTTTTTCTTTTTTCAAGATAGAATCTCATGCAGCCCAGGCTGGCCTTGAACTCTCTATGTAGTCGATAATGGCCTTACACTCCTGACCCTCCTGTGTCTACTTCTCAATTTCTGGGATTATCGGTCTTCAGTGCCACCAAGCCCAGCTTATTGTGTGCGTGTGTGTATAGGACTTCATTTAACTCTCTCCTAAGTCTCTCAGAGTTACTCTTACTGTGGCTTTTCTTTCCCAAATGAAGAAGCCAGTGATAGAAAGACCACGTATGATGAGGGTTAAAGCCAGAGATAACCATTTGATCAAATCAGTGCTATACTTGAACTCCGTTCCCTTCACTCCCAAACCTCTTCTTCCTTTATGTTCCTGGACTCCTTCCCCAGCCTCTTGTGAATACGAGACACACTTTCACAATCAAAATGAAGGTTTGGCCTTGCACTTATTTCATCCTGTGTAGATTTATGATTGTTGTCTATATATGCGCCTCTCCCTCATAGCCTGTGACGCAACTCGATCCTTTAGAGCCTAAGCTTGGGGCCTGGCACTCATCTGATGTTTGTGATGCAACGAAACCGATGCATGTTGCCTACTGAAAGATCTTTCACAATCTTCTGCACACAGTAGGCGCTCAACATAAACTTCTGTTCCCCCACTTTTTTTTTTTTTGGAACGCCGGGTGGCCGGGGAATGGGAGAGGCACGCGATTCCTCACCTGAGGGCTCAGCAGGGTCCTCAGGTGCTTCAACTGCATGACGCGCACGAGTCTCAGATGCTCGCTGACCGAGACAACTCCCGCGGTTACCTGGACAACCCGCCAAGCAGCGGCGTCGCCAGCCGCTGACGCACGGGAGACGTGAGTGCGACACACGTCATGAGGTCACGTAGTGGGTTCGCGACAATGCAAGCAGGACATGCGCAAGCGCAGTGAGTCCTAGAAGAGGGGTTGTCGAATTCTCTCCTCAACCAATCCCGTTGCTGCATGCAAACCCAACGCAAAGCCCCACCCACAGGTCTTCGTCTGTCCCCGCCCTCCCCAGCCCCGCCCCTCGACCCTACATCCCTTTAACCCTAGTTTCTCTCACTGCTGTGTTCAGCCAAGTGCGCTTTAGTTGCTTAAACTTTGGACAAGAGCAAGGCAGGTGCTACGGTAGGAGAAAGCCAATTTGCTGAACTGCAATCTTCATCTGCCCCCACGCCTCGAAAGTTGCACGAGGCCGCTCAAAACTGATAGGTAATAGTGAATGCTACCTGCCTGAAGTGGACAGAGGTACAGTCCCGTTTTACACAACAGGAGGGGTCACAGCTAGTAAACTGTGGAACCGGGATTCAAGGCAGAGCTGATATCCTTTTAATTCCTGTAAGACGATTCAAATCTTAACTCATTGTCTCCATGTTCAACTTCTCTCCCCTGTAACAGTCTCAGGAAATGATCCGGGGTTTTGAGGGATGTGTTGGAAGCACCGGTAGGGAAACGCAAGGCACCCTATTTGGCTTTTGGGTAAATGGTGAGTTCAATCTTGACTTATGGGTCAGCGCAGCGGACAGACAGAGCTTGGCCGCCCTCCTAGCTTGGAGCTGTGTGACATTGGAGTTGGAGATTGGCTCAGAAAAGATACCGTTGTCTTTATTTTGTTTGATCGGGATCCTTTCAAAAATTTTTTGTTCTAATTTCTTGCAACATATCAGAGAAATTGCATGAAATGCAGAAAAGGAGATTTCCGTAGGCCTTCTCTGTCTAGACTGTCCCAGATTGGCAAGACCTATACCCCACTAAAAGCATAACATATGCTCTCCAGACAGAAGCTGGGTCCCCAAGCTTTGCATGCACACCAGTTGCCAATGGCAACAAATATTTCTCTCCCCGCCGCTACCTCCCTCTTGAAAAATCAAGAACAAGTAGAGGGGCAGTTCCCATTTTTCACAGGTAACAACAAATAGGTCCCAGAACCCAAATTATATTTTTTTCTACAGGGGCATCCAAACCCCTTTGTTTTATTTCTAGAATCCTCTGAATATGTTACAGAGTATAAATATAAACTCCTTTGTAGATTACAATTATTATAACGTTGAATGAACAGAGACAGATGAAAGAGAAAACAAAGAAGAGGCACTGGTGTGCACAGGGTGAGGATACATGGCACCAAGGGACACATCCGTGACAGCCACTCTTTTGTTAGCTCCCAAGACACTGCTCCGTCCTTCTGACCATTTTCCCAGAGTGAATGGTAAGAATGGGGAGGGGGTTAGTTATATAACTCAGTGGTAGAGCATTTGCCTAGTATGCACAAGGTCCTGGACAAAGATAAAAAAATCTACTGGCCCTTTTATGTGACATGGCCTGGTTTCCATTGGTGCAAAAACTTCTGTGCCTTCTCACACTCCCCACCCCCATTCAACAAAGCCAAAGAAAGGAGGCTTCTGGCTTTCTGTACCCTTTCCTTCCTGTGTTTTCTCCACCATCTTAGATGAAAACATGGACACAAACATCTTACACAGAGTCTGTTCCTTTAAGTTGGTGGTGGCATGAGGGGCCCTTGGAGAGCTGACATGGTGTAGAGATGTCTTCAGCATACCATACAGTCAGTTCCGGTTTGTCCAAGAACCTTTATTGAAAAAATGTCCCAGGGGTGAGATCACCAGCAGCTGAAGGGGCTGCCAGGTGAGGGGGGAGCACCTGAGGCTCCATGGAAGACATTGGAGTAGTGCAGTGTGGCATCTGCCTCTAGGCCCCGATGGTTCCTCTTACACCCCAGAGGAGGGCAATACAGACAGAAACACCTTTCTCGGAGGCCCAGAGGCAAGCTGCAGGGGCAGCTAGTGGATGCCAATAGTCCTGATGCAGGTGAGATGGGGCCCCTATTTGGGACCTAGTGGGATAGATTGAATAAATGAGTCTCCCCTGGACCTGGGGGATAGGAGATGTTCCATTTGATGTCCACTCCCAGGTCCAGGGGTACAGATTCTAACAGACCTACCTTCTGGCCCTGCTCACAGTGGAAAGAGGATGGGTACCAGCCTGGGATTCTGGGAGTGCATTGCCTTGTGGGAGTCTCAAGCAGATCATCAGCTTAGGCTTTCCCTGATCCCACCCTACCCCCACATTATTAGAGCGTCTCTCTTCTAGTTCTGTTTCTTCATTCATTCAGTTCACTCAAACGTCGATGGTGTTGATGGATGGAGACTTTTTCTGTGAAAGAAAATTAACCAAATCTTGAATTCCAGAAAGGTAAAGGTGCCGCCCCTGCCTTCTGGGCTCCTCATCCCAGACACACCATTCCCACCCCACTTCCCCTTTCTGCCTATTCTTCTGCCTTTCACTGAATACTCCTTGACACCCAATCACCCTTCTCACACTCACTGGTCCCCACATCACCTGTCTTGTCCCCACTGGCCTTCCCTGAGGACTCTGTTCAGGACCCTTCCCCTTCTCCTTGGGGTTGTTGTTGGAGTCATTGTCCTTGATGATGTCATACTGCCGGCAGAATAGCCCAATCACAGCTGAAACACAACAATACCCTATGATCGCCTTGACCTTGACCTCTCCAATTGCAGCCTTAAAGAGCACTGAAGATACACAACTTCTGGAAAATTCTTGAATGCCTGGTGCCCATGCACCCCCCTCATCCCTGGCTTTGCAATAGACTCATCTCTTTCTCCTCAAACTTGTCCTCATTACCTCCCTCCACCAGCCCTCCCTCCCTCCCTCTCTCCCCCTTTTCTCCTGACAGGCAGCCTTCGCTATTTTCCGACTGTCACAGACCCAAGTCCCTGGTCCCATCCGGTACTCACCAGCCCACATGAGCAACACCACCACAATGATGACCACTTCCCCTGTCTGCAACGGCCGCTCTCCATCCAGACCCTCCACTGTAATGTCACCTAAGAAAAGAGCCAGCCTTTGGGTTACCAAGGACCCACTGGAAAGTTCTGTTACACACAGAAGGGGGTTAGAGTCATTGGACCCATCATTGCACTGAACCTCGAGTCGTGGGGTAGCCACTCGCAGGAAGAGGCCCTTGGTGGGCAGTGTTTAGAGATCCAAGGGTGATCGTAGAACTTGCTCATGCAGGCTGTGGCTTGTGTGATGTGCGTTTGGGTGAAAGGAAGCTGAAAAGCCCTTCCCCCAAAAGAATTCATTAGCAGCATCTCTATGGTCTCCTGCCCACCTGTTTTTCTTTCCTTCCCTGGCAGTAGAACCAATTAAATCACCCTTCTATTCATCGGAGCTAGACTGTTGTTAGCCTTAAGCAAGTAAACGAGAGGTTTAAAAGCTAGTTAAAAAGCCCGAGAATCATCTACTAACACAGGTTCTCACCTGGGCTGGAGCTGTTGGAGGGCAACCTGTCAGAACCCTTGAGAGTACGGAAGTGCACACGGGGCCCAGGGGGACTCTCTCCCCGGAGACCGATGCTTCTGACCTGCACCGTGTAATCACTGTCTTCAGCCAGGCCCCAAAGAGCACAGGCCCTGGTGGTGGTGTTCACCTCTCTGATCACACGCTGCCCAGGGCCATTCTGTCGCTGCAAGGAGATACAGAGAGAGGAGAGCAACCTAGCCCCAGTCCCTGACCATCAGGCTTGGCGCAGGACTCTGTGACATGCAAGCACTCCAAAGGAGTAGTGTGGAGGTGACTGGAGGGGTGTTCAGAGACCCAAGGGCACAGGTTGGGGAAACAGGGTGACTCATACTTGCTGGGAAATGGAGTAGCCAATGACGGTGTTGCCTTCTGGGACGTCCCAGGACACAGTGGCCGAGTTGGCTCTGAGGTGAGTGACCGTCACATTCACAGGAGAGGGAGGTCGGTCTGGGGGTGCCAGGGTGTTGACAGGTTAAGAGGTTTCACCTCCACACTATCTCTGACGGACCCCCACTGCGGGTATCCTCTTCACTCACCTGCTCGCACAAAGCCCAGGTCGCAGCTGACCAGCAGGAGGACCGTGGGACTCAGATATGGGGAAAGAGGCATCAAAGAAGCCATGGTTTCCACCGAGTTCGCCGAGGGGCCCGGAGGCATCCGCTTGACATCCAGGCAGGGATCCTGGAGGAGGCAGGAGTTGAGGGATTCAGGAGCTGCCCAGAACGCAAGCGGGGTGCAGCAGCTCTCCCGGGCTTCCCACGGCCCACAGCCCATTTTCCCCGCGCCTTTTCCGCCTCC